CCCCCATGCCAAAGTCCATCTCCAGGTAAGTCATCTCCCCCCAAAAATCTCCATCCCCACTCCACCCCCTCTTTTCCGGCACAAACTTCACGCCACAGCCAGTATTAGACATACGAAAAAGTGCGAACAGCGATCTCCTTTGGTTTGTAACCTCGAATAACGAAAGGCAAGGCGAACACATTTAAATGCTCTGAATGTCTCCGTGAACACATAAGACGCCCTCAAAGCGAAAAGCATTGACGATGATAAACCAGGAACGTGGACGATCAACAGGTGACGAATGGATGGGGAGCCTAACAGGGGAGCCACGGCCCGAATTCACAGCAGATTGCAATCTAGATGTATACAGCTCCCCATCCAAAAATCAATACAATACTGAAACACATTTTCCAGTATGCTTTATTAGTTCAATAAATGGCTAGACCAGCACCGGCTGCCGGCACAGTCTGTGTACCGAGCAAATATTGACACCAGTGGTCGGCCTCCGATCTGCGGCCTGCACTCCCACAAGCAAGCAGTCCCTGACTTGGTCTTCTGAGCGGGTTGTGGTTGGTCCTATTAATTTGTGTGGCGATTTCTGTCCGGTGTGTGAAAGGACCCATTAAAGTGTTTGCAAACAAGACTGCAAATCGGTAATTATCGCGTCTACTTAAGTCGATGGCTTTGGAGAATGGTGTGGAGTGTTCATTAGTTAACTGTCAAGAGCACATTTAGATTAGCATAAAAAGCGTCGTGCCATCATAAATGTGGCCGTCAAATATTAGGTTTATTGAAATTGTACGGCCGCGTTATTGACATATAAATTCCTACAAATAAGAAGTTCTAGATATGGGGAAATTAGTTGTAAATAAGTCCACAATTATTACACTGTTAACATGACTGAAATCCTTGAAAAAGACCTCCAGAAAAATAGAAGAAAAACAAGAACTTTGTCTATACATTGCTTTTCATTAAAAATATAAAACATTCTGCATGACTAGTTTTTCTTTATATCATGAGAGACCAATAGATATCATTTTCTTCGTTAAGTGAATTTACAGAGAACTATAAGACAAATCATCAGTCAAAATATATCCTCTTCACCTGTTTGACCCGTCTCCATTTAGCTCTCCTATTCTGGAACCACGTCTTCACCTGAAAGAAGCATAAACAATATATGGAAAAACATGTATATCAGTAATATCAATATTCCAATAAAAATAAGACTGGACCTAATGCACGCCATGGGCGTCGTCCGGATTTTTCTGGGTTTGAAAGTTGTCATTAATATTTGAAAAAGGGCCTTGAGTTTGAATATGTCACAGTTGAACACTTGGAAATATTGGAAATAAAGCTTGAATTGAGGCAGTGGAAGGATGGCATTGACACCAATAACTTGACTACTACATGACAGCGGCGAACGCTTCGAAGAATGCCACACACATGATGTCATCTCCTGTCATTACATTTTTCAATGAATAATGAAACGCAAGGGGTCACATGATGTGAAACATTTAAGCAATTTGTATCGCTATCCAAAAGGGGCTGGTAAGTTATGTTTAGGTCGTTTTGAGCAGGAGTTTTATGGTTATATCTTTGAAAATCGTGTTTCGTAAATCTCTCTGACAGACACTAGGTTAATGTAAAATCTTTTCTGCACTGGCATACACCCGCGGACGTAGTTGCTGGGAACCTCGATAGCAGCCCTCTACTTTTCACTTTGAAAGTAGAATATTCTAGCTACAGATGACAGCATTATGCGGAGGTGATCATGACAATCCCAGACAAGATGTCTCGTCTCAAGTAGGATTACCGCTTTGGATTCAAAGTGGAAACTCTGTAGTCGTAAATAAGAGACCCCACAGCACCCCCAAGTCAAGAGTGATAACTTAACTTCTACAAAGAATACATCAAACAAATTGTTGAATAATCTTTTAAACCGGCTGGATTTAAGGACTGCTTGCTACCTAAGCAGCCCCTAAAGCACTGAGCAATGGGGCCATCAATATTGACCAAGGGTGAAATGATCCAATCGAGGGGATTTCTTGGGAGGTAAGACCAGTAATTCGGGGAGTGCATTGCTGCCAGGTATTTACTGTTGGTCGCCATGAAGTATCCACTCGACGTACCGAGCAAACACCGTGATCGAAATAGACGTCTAGTACGCAGGGAGTTCATATTGTCCAATTTACACCACACCCAACCCCGAAAGCTATACCGCGTGTCCCGCCCCTGGTATGCCCACTAGGAACAGTAGTAACCCATTTCAAGTTATTGAGCCTGCAAGCAAACTTTGATGACATGGATCTTGAACTATCGCATAAGAGCTAAGGGGACACGATTGGGCGGCACAGACTAGTGCAGCTTCAACCAGCTTAATGTGGTGCAGGCAAGGGAGACGCTATCCATGTAGTCTGCGTCTGTGAGCCTCCAAACAGAAAAATGAGTTAATCTTATACCCCAGTGTATGCCCATTGAAAGATCTGTGTAGCGCGTAGGTACGAGGTAAACAGGGGGGAAAATCAAACACGGGTTGTACAACCTACAAAAATGAAAATTAGAAGCAGCAACATTATACTGTCAAATGCAATTAATAGTAAGTATTAAACTGGTTCTGTTGGGTTTTAAACTCATATCAGTTCGTTGACAAAGAGCGACAATATATTGTGTGACAAAAATTCTATCAAACACTTAATGACTTTGCTGAACTCCTTGAACGGAAAAAGGAAACCGATCGTAAAATTATGTCTTTTCTCGCCCGAATTGTTTGTCTTTGTGCCCAGTCATTAACGTGCATATGCCTAATCGCGATTTATTCGCACATTAGTCAGTCTTTATCAGTCAGCGCGCAGCATGGACTACCGACACCTCGCTCACACCACAGACCAAAGAAATGCTCCAACAGACGGGTGATGCACCTCTGTCGAACTGCGCTGACCAAATGTGGATGACTACGCTGCGTGTGATGATAGGACAAACCTGTTCTCACAATCTTAGAAACCATTACTTCTGTCCCAAATCATCTACTTCGTTACTAAGTTCCCTTTGCTTGTTTCACATCAGGTAGTGCCACAAGTGTTTTTTTTTTCAGACTAAAGATGTTTCAGTGACAGGAACGCGAAGGGGGTTTCATCAGGAACTGATATAGGCCTAGATTTGCCAAGGTCATATAGTTTCTGTAGAATTGTGTGCTAAAGCCATGCAAGGGGAAGATTACAGCGTGCAGCGTTCCTCAGAAATCCTTAAAACTCATTGCAATGGAACTAGACATTCAGACTTACAAAGCTCCAATTTTGTAATGTGTGACATAACAAATGGAGGACTCCTTTATTAAATTGTCACGGACGCCACACTCGGGCAAGTGACTGTTAAACCAGTGGCGTAACTACCGTGGGGAGGGGGCGGGGCGCTGGGGGTCCGTGTCTTGGTTAGGTGTTCATTTGAAAATTTTGAAATATGCACAACGTATAATTGCAAGCCAAAAAATGTGTACTGTACATCCCCAGTTCTCCACAGAAATCTCAAGTAAGTAAGTTTACAAGAGAAAATTGTTGCACGACTTTCAATATAGCCATGCGTCTTGTGTAATCCAGTGTCTAAGTTTTTACTTTCTCTCGAAATTACCTGTCTTTCGCTGAGTTGTAAGAGCTTGGCCAACTTTTTCCTCTCAGGTGGCGAGAGATACTTCTGGCTTTCGAATTTCTTCTCCAACTCCATTGTCTGGTCATTGGAGAACCGCACTTGGCCACCTTTACGCTTATGAAGCGGCCTCTGAATAAAGGGATTCCACAGAAAGGGTTTTCCCTGCACTGAAGTTGGAAAAAAGCAAAATCGCAATTCGATCAGATAAATCTCATATCTGAAGGAGATCCAACAAATGTAAAAAGTACAAAACTGCCGCAAACTGCCTGGTGACTAAAGTGGCATGTCAATCTGCATCGGATCGAAACGTTTTTGACGTCTTTGACAGTTCTAACAATTTAAAGATTCTTGTGACAAAGTACACGAAGTTGGATATGCGGTATCTCACTCAGAAAAATACTTGCGTGCCGTCCACAGGTCAAAGGTTAAAGGTCAGATAAACAGAAATGCAAACAAATCTTCTTTGCTTGGACTTTATTTTCTTCAGAACATCATTCTTGATTTACATTGGAATAAAAGCCGGGGTTGCAGAACATTCACAAATGGGATAATTATCGGAACTTGCATTAAGTTATGTTAATTAGTTGCGCTAAGGACAGCTCGAACAGACGGTTGTCCACTACGACTTCAGAATACTCGGAAATATCTCTCCACAATTTCGTGAAACTAGCATGTTTATTTCAAAGCTATCAGCTAAGTGCTTTCGAAGACATTTTCACTTTGCTATACTGTTTGGAAAGAATTTCTTTCCAGTCAGGCCTACATCATAAAAAAATCGACAAGTTTATCGTTTTTTGAAATCTGCTTGAGCCTTGTTAAATTTATGAAATCCATTGGATTGGATTTACTTTAAACCTTTATTTTATTTCATAGCTGCAGTTTATCGCAAAACTTTCTGTAACCCTTGTAATAGTTAGTATCTAAATTAATGTAATTTGAAAAATTCGTGATTTTCATGTTTTTTGATAGATTTTATAATGTTAATTAAGCTTATATAGCCAGAGGTACTGGAATTTAAGGCCTTTGGGATACAGTTTGCAGGTAAACATTTTCATTTACAGACATAAACACCTCTGGTTATAGTCCTTGTTTTCTGTATAAAATGCAGATTGTCGTGTGGTCCTGATCACAAGTTTTTATGCTGATTAAAGAAATAATATCAATGGGCTGACATTACACTGACTTTTAAAGTCACATCACGTCATGCCCTCCTGCTGTTTTAATTACAGGACATTACCAATAACATGTTCTTTCGCAGGGCCTACTTTCAACCTGACAAACTGTGTGTGTTGTATGGTTTTACGAACATAAAGGAAGCACCCTTTTACAACAGAAACACGTGTAATAACATTTCTTATCGACCACTTCCAGTCTAATCCACTAGTTGAGGATGCAGTTCCATGGTCTGTTTATTCTTTACTTTTCGTCATCGTACCGGTGCTTCTCTCCCCTAATCAAGAGCTGACGATGTGAGAAAGTGTTCTATGGAATATCGCTATCGAGGAAGTCAACATTGAAGGAAATTGTCAATTTCGCGAACATGTAATAGGCATAAAGAAACAGGCGGCTCGAAGGCCGCCGCGGGGCAACACATAAATGGAAGGTGTACAGTGTGTGAAGGGAATGAAAATAAAAACCAGTCCCAAGAGTATTCAGCTGCTTTACCATGGAGGTAGGATCTAACACACACGGGCAAGAGGGAGGCTGAACAACAGTGTTGGCAAATAAACTTGTGCACAAACAGGTTTCATGTCTGTAACACTTTTAGTAGGGCGATTGTATCACTACGGGATCGTTTGTCTGTGACACGCGGTTTCTTTCTACATAATTACGCCAGGCCAGCCGAACACTCACTTGTTAAAGGCGAACCCCTGCAATATTACACTGGGGTCTGCCTTTTTACACTCCGATCTCCGATTTAAAAGAGAACAGTAATAATTACAAGAGTCCATCTGTGAAGCTCCACAATGATTTTTGACACGACCACAAAGCCATGTTTCTACAGTTGCCATTGCTCCATATTTTGTATGGTTGTACTCATGTGGAACAGTGCTATTTTAGTAGACTTTTGAACGATCGGGAGAAATATATGATAGTGATCCATCCAGTTAAAACGTATTTAACCATGCCCAATAAAGGCAGAAGTCTCAAGAGACAGTTTTGCCTCTTGCCAATTTCTCAGTTAAAAACAAAGAGGTGGTCCCTGGATAATTTCCTCAAATACAAGCACTAGTCAGCAGCATACAGCAACCTCTAAGTAACAATTAGAGTATGACAATTTCAAAGTTACGATTTTGGTGCTATTTGATATAAAACTCATCAGCGTTGAAGTTTTACAAACTCAGCCGAGTGCAATTGACGGTAAAAACAGCACTGCGTAGAATTCGTTTTTTAGGTTTTCTACTCTTATGAAAATCGTTCACATGTTTATAGAACAAGAAAATGCAAATATATTGAAACTTGGAACGGTTGAATTCATCAGATGATGCTACCATTGCAAGACATCACTTCAGGGTGAAGTATTACTTTTGACTGTTTACATGTACATGTACTCAGTTTCTAGTCTAATCGGATAGTTCCTTTGATAAAACTAGGAAAAACGCCCCCATGAATTGGTTCATCACAAGAGTCACGTGACACTTGACTTGCTAAAGATTGGCGGTGAACATATTGAATATACGCACAGAAAAAAAACGCAGTGAGATCGTTTCCTTCATTCTTCGTTAAAATAAATTGATGGTTTTTACTCTCCCACCAGCCCACCGGTAGGGCTTGGTTACAGGATCACCTCGCAAACAATTACTCCGCTACACTGTTGGCGCCAAAATCAATTTCGACTGCAACGAGAAACTAGGTTGTCTGATGTTTGTATACGGCGAAAATAATGCGACTTCGAGGCTGTTGAATGAGACCAAGTTGCACATGTCACTCAGTTCCTTGTTATCCCTCGTTTAAAAGTGGAGCCGGCAGCTCACATCGGATGTAGTAGGCCTATACCCAAAAACCCAGCTTAAAAGAACCCCGGCTCTCTCTGGGAAGTGATCTGTACGGATTGTCTAATTCGGACAATTTCCCCAATTTGAGGGTGCGCATCAACAAACGGCCCTTTTGCCCAGCCCCCTGGTAATTTTGCTCTCCCGTACTCTGTCTTCGATGACGGTAAACGAGTTACATTACAACGTCAACGCACTAGCTGACTGCCTCAGTTCTTGATTGCTTACCCCATGCATCACTTCCTCTAGTTGTCCCGGCCGGAGTTTTTATCTCAGCCATCCAGCTGCTACCCCCGAGAGAGTTTTGATTTCCTGCTGGATAGTGGTCCTAGGACGGATGTTAAGTACCAATACACGTACGATTTTCTTTAATCTTTTTACCCCATTAGTAACGTTCGTTTATCACTATATAAATTGCGTTCCTTATGTCGCGGTGGTCTTTATTGCTTGCTTGAACAAAATTATGTAAATCCGGGGATGGTAAGGGTAGGTGATATACATCCCCTGCTTTTTGACCTGATGATGGGCCATAGAATCATGTCCAAGATTTTTGTACCGAACATAATTACCGATATGCCACCTCTCCTTCAACAATCAACACGATCACGCAAAGTATACATGTACTATATGCATTAATTGTAACATGCGTTTTCATCTTCAGCATAGGCTGTGGATATTTCATAACACCCTTTGTAGACTCCTGCTTTCATGAATATGGTGTCAAAGATAGCAAGATTACATTTCTGATCAGGAAATTGTGAACCCTCTTAATGTGTTGTAAGGCCACCTTACTGCCGTTTCCGATATACCAGTGCGCAAAAAAGCGCTGATAAACGCTTTTGAAGCGGAAGTTCAATGTAAATCAGAACTATGCTTTCTCGCCTTTCCTGTATTTTATTTACTTTGGAGGTTCTCACTGTTTACTTTGGTGAGAAAGTTCTATTACTGGATAAAGTGTCATCAGTTTCTTCTCATGTAACACTTCATTATATAAATCACCATTTTTAAAAAAGATTTCTACAGAGCATATTGACATGTTACAACCATGATGAATGAATCATTCTGGGGTTTGTTTGGGGTGTGACTGTTTGCTTTTTGTTTTTCGTTTTAATTTTCTTTCCAGCTTCTTACAGAACATGTTAAATTAATATAAATAATAAAATCAAGCGAGAAAACGAAACAGTCACAAAACGAATACATGTATAAGTCTGACCTAAAATATGCACGTTGCTAGCTTGACTTGTTGTGTCTAGCGCTTCTACCCACCTGCTGTTTACATTGAGCACCTATCCCTAGAGTAGCACTAAATAGCAATATTCCCTTTTAACGAAAATTGAATTCGTTATTTAAATTCCGGTATTACTGTCAATTTCCCTTGAAAATGTGTTGTCTAAAGGTGGGCAGCCTTTTATGAATGTGTCATTTCTAGTGAAGTACTTTCCCTCTTTTTTGTTATAATTGTTGTCTTGCTTTAGCGGGACTGTTTTGATTTTAATATTACCAAACTAGGCCTTACCTCCATTTCTCAGATGCCAAACTAGGAATGTTGCAAGAATAACATACATGTATTTTGTTTTTTTTTACCTTGCTCTTTTATGATTTCTTAAGTTCGCCGTTTTATTCTTTTGTAAATCTAGTATTTGGTTTTGTGGAGTTTGTTGATTTGTAGTACTGTTTCCAATTCAACCGTAAGGTTGCAAAGACTGTACTGAATAACAAGATTTGAATTAAATTAAATTGAATTTTTTCAATGCCTATAATGCATTAACAGTTGGTAACGCTCTCAAATCAAACAAAAAAAATAAACAAAAAAAACTAAAAACTGAATTCAACATCTGCGATGAAGGTTTACAGAAAGATACCGAAATGATCTTATCACGATATTTATGCTTATGTAAATGTTCGAAGTGTCGACCACGTAAACATCTAGTTTTGTTTATAAAAATGCTTTTATTTAGAAGTTTACTATCGAAAATATCATATTCATGCGTTTTGGTAAGAATGTTCTTGCATATTTTAATATATTTTTACGATGGCTTGTTTCTCTCTGGTACCGTTAATACAAAAGGGGAAAAAATCACTTGGACCATTTAAACAAAGTTGTATTTCCTCAATAAGGAGTAATCCAAAACAACTTGAACACAATAAACTCTTTATTCTGAGAAATACATGTGGTCAGTTCAAAGAATATCAAATTGTTGAGTTCTCTTGCAAAGAGTAAAACATGACTTTTGCTTAAGTATTTTGACTGATATAAGTGCTGTCTCGGTAGACAAGCCACCCACAGAGAGTAAGCACCCCTAAAATGTCGTCAAAATTGGAATGGAAGAGAAAAAAACTGAATAAATATGCTTTTGGACAGAGAAAGTTTAACACACATTGTGGTAAGTTCAAAGTTGCAAAACGAAATATCAGTTCACCATGTGCACTTGAGAAGTGTAGCCAAGAGCATTAGTTTCCACTCGTGTATGCGATGACGTTGCATTTACCTCCAAATGCAAGGCCGGGTTGCCAGGGTTTCTAGGCACTTTGATTGTTTAATCCCTGGTACTACCTGGCTGTTAATGTCTACAAAGCGTAGTAATACGAAGTAATAAGTCCAGCCTTGAGGCTGGTTCTGCTAAGTCACCCCTAAATGTTATGACAAGTGCCATTGTAGCTGGGTTAGTATCGCTATGTGCAGAAACGGGCGCTAGAATAATTTCCAAATTCAGCAGTCCAAAAAGAATCCAATTCATAAAGTAGACCTCAGTCTTGCATAACAACTGTGACTGTTGATCTAACATGCAACCTGCTGCTCAAGCAAAAAGTGCTCTGATGAGGGGAATGGCGAGTATAGGGGCTGCAGAACTGGTAGTTGGTTGCTAATGAAAACATTGTGAATTACTATTTTAAACCTTTCATTTTCCAGAAACTATTTGGTAAAATTTCATAAAACGTGATGTCAGTCAATTTTTATAGCTACATTTTTGTAGCTTTGAAATGGATATCAAGTACAAAGAAAGAAATCAGACAGAAGTGTGCATACATGCTTCAAAACGCTTCCAAACATCTTGGCAATCCCTGACAACCTTGAACCATCCTATTTCAATTTCAATTTGTCAGGAACAGTTGGAATTTTTGGAAAATGATTCAAAGACAATCAATTCATTATCCCAGTATAATATGCCATATTTTCATTTTTGTATCATTTTTTTTTGTTTTACAGTCGTTGTGCAACAGAAGTTACGACTGTAAAGTAGCGCATTTAAAAACTCATCCAGTTTCTATCAAGAGAGAGGATCAACAGTATTTGTGTGTTGAATTATCTCCATTCAAAGGCTTTCTTCGCGCTGCGTGTGGGCGCTCGAAAAAATCGCTGTCAAGACGGAGGAAGGGATTTGAGAAATGGAAACAAAACGTTACTGAATGGATTCAGTAATGGATTGAGCGGTCAACTAGCAAACACTGCAACATGCCATTCATAATGGTTGTAACGTCAAAGGGCCAAGTATTTAAACAACACCACCCATAACAATAGCAACAAAGAGAGTTGATCAAACATATTACACCTTGGCCAATTACTAGGCTTTTCTGGGTCGCTTAGCGGGCGCTGGTCGTTTTACTCAGGCCGGGATGGAATGAGTGACAGGTCTAGCTCGCCCGGCAAGGTTTACGGAATATACAAAGTCTGTGTATACTCAGTTTCAATCCAAGATAATGCATCGCTAAAATGATGTGAGAAGAAAAAGTGCTGCATGTTTTCCCTTAACAATCAGCCAGTGATGTGTTCATGCACTGCGCTCTGTTTGAGGTTGCTGCTTTTGTGTGTCCGGCGTGATTCACCAAACATTTGTCAGGTCCGTTGGGAGGTTTTAGCAAAACATTGGCAAAATCTCTAGTGTTTTCACACAACCTCTGATATTCCACTTCTCACACTTGTTGATTCTAATACACCTTCAATAATCCTCAGCAACTTAACACACGCTGCTTGTTACAACCTGTTTCATTTGAGAGGGAGTGAGAGATTAAACTCAAGACTATTTTTCATTGTTTTTGTTCTCTTACAAATTATGTTATTTTTCCTTTTGGATTTTATCTCGGTAAGCTACTAACAGCAGTCTAAATTTGCTCTCCAAACCTGTTTAATGGTTCTGTGCTTAACTAAACTTTGTTTCTTATCATAAGAATTTTGAGAAATTGCAGGAATTCATGGTTAGCTCAACGAATTCAAAAGAAATGGAAAAGTGCGTCCATAAACAAGTGCCCCACCTGTACTTGTTGATTCAATTCCTTCATCCTTTTGTCCACGTTGTTGTTAACAACATAGAACAAAAAAAACCGCTGTCCCTTTGTTAATGTAACAGACGTAACGTCAGGACAAATTCACTGCGTAATGCACCCAAAAGGGCGTTTTATTGTACTGAAAAGAAGAAACAAGTAGCAGAAAAGAAGATGAAAAGCAGCTTCACCGTTCATACGATGTTTATGAGCGTGGCCGTAGACGCGTATGTTACTAACGATTGGCACACTGAGGGGAAGTAACAACAGTCAATCCATCAATCAAATGGCTAAAAGTCCATGCTATTACGCCAATACCGGGGAACTGCCTAATGGGTTAATACATATAGTAAGCTGTATTTTTCCTCAACAAAACTGAACACGGCTTGGCAGCATATTTGACTTGGTTGCCCTGCGGCTATATCTGCACGCCACTCGCTCCAAGAGGAACTGCTGCAGGTCTGTAGGGAGTAAAACAGCTCGAATAGGAAAAGGGTAGTTCATTACTTGCTCTTCCTTAAACTTTACGATGCTCAGGATGGATCCATTCTTCCCTGTAATGAAGTGGTTCTGTGGTCTTATAAAGAATGTTTTCTTCTTTAAAGGGACCGACGTTTCCAATCAGGGTCGCTTTACAGAAAAATATGGTAAACTGTAGTAAAAATAGCAAAGTGAGGTTAAATACCGCAAAGTTCCAGAAGTAAAGCAACTTTTAATCACAAAATTGCAGCTTCACAGTTCGCCGTTCAAAAACTGATAGAGATTTGGGTTGAGTTAATCCGAGTATGCAAGCTCTGTCGTAAAGGTTAGGTATACTCTTAATAAACTGTAGAGTATGGACACGCGAAATGTTGATCTACCTGATGAATCACTCTATGAATAACTTTGGGTGGCGCGTTCATGTAATTCGTTGTAATGATCGTCAAATGTTCACCCACATCAAACTTCTTCTAAAATGACTTTGGTCTATGGCCTGTCTTGAATGCTTGTATGTTTGTCTTTCACCTGTCAATATTAAGGGGTAACCTACTAATACTACTAAAAATTTCCCGCTTTTGCATGCAATTCTCGGATAACCACAGGGTCCCTCAATCAAACTGTGCTTCACTCCCCTATGACATGACGGGCCGGAAACACTTGTGACAATGGATGAGACACGGCGGAAAATCTGATTCAGTACGTGCCGCAGTAGCTGATCGCTGGCTTCCGGTGGGGGAATGGCCCGGTCCCCAAAGGTGCCGGGTACCAACGATGCCTGGCACAAACGACGCTGAATATAGTTTGGGAAAAATCTGCACTCAGATTTCTGAAAAGTAGGGCTACTTTCTCCTCTCTGGCGACATGTGATACGGTGTAACTTTTTTTCTTATTAAACGTAGAAAGATTGAAATCAAGACGGGAGGCATTTAGCTAGCACTGCTCCAGCAACCAGGACAACTTTAAACTCCTTCAAATTTTTCGCTTTGAAAAAAACTGAGTGTATTCATCTCCATCTTTTGGTTTTCATATTTGTGATTTTGTTTCTTTTACGACGAAATCCAAGAAGAAAGAAAAAATATATACAGCTTAGGTCGTTCTGATGCATGCTTGATAGTACTAGACCGTCGAGGGATGGATGCCCGTTACTGAATCTGTTGTTTAAACATGTTTTTATAGAAAAGGTGTGCGACGAAAATACGCAGATTAATCGGTTTTTAAACATTGTTTGTCATTCAGTAACTTTGAGTTTGCCTAACCCCCCAACCCCAAATCAACAGCACGATTTTCGAAAAAATTTTCAGATCAAAATTATCATTACATCTACATATAGCTATTTCAAAATTTCATATTACATGTAAAGTTTCAGAATTTCCCTGACAATTATTGATGATTCAATTTATATAATAATTCAATGAAAGTAAAATCGTATTTACATTATTCTGCAAAACACGTTTCGTAATTAGGGACTGCTAGATAGAGCTTGATGTAAAACGAGCCTTGCATGTCGTTGTATATTTCCTGATGTTGTGACCTGAATCGATGTTCATTCGTTTCATTGCAATATCATATTTACTTCCTGGTACTCGCCATGGCAGTCAACGACAGTATTAGAATATCACACGCCAGACATACTTTCTTGGCGTTAGGTAGAAAACTGGCATAAAAATAATTGTAGCTTTTTCGCATCGAATCATTTAGCTTCTATCGATTCGATCATGTAGATAAATGACACAATGTAAAACACCTCCATGGTTTGAAACAAGCAAACCAACAAACAGACACAATAACTCCAAACGCCTTTCCAAAGGTGTTGGAAGCTGTGACTTATTACGATAAACAAACAAGCGCTTACCTCTCTGATAAACGCCTTTCAAACTAAACATTTTGTAAACACCAAAACCAAGCCATAAAATTGGCCATCTTTGGAACACAGATGTTTTTAAAATGCAAAATATTGATTTTGTTGTGGGTCAGAAGAGATAATACGGAATAGCATGTGCATGATCGTCCATTTTAAACAATTAAATAAGATTTAAATCAAACACTAAAAGACAAAGCGCTGGGAAACATCTGTTATACTCCTGTCGAGATTCAAAAGCTGGAAATGCACAACTAGTGGAACTGTATCACGATCAGAAATGTGAAATTTTGTACAGCGCCTACCTTTAGAGTAAGGATCGTGTCTGTCGATAAGTCCGTGCGGGTAGTCACTGCGGGCGAATGGGTATGGAGGCGGGCTGGAGAAGGCACCAGAGCCGTAGCTGATCGGCGTGGGCGCTGAAAGCCCGGGATGTACTGGCTGGTCGTAGAAGGAGTTGTACGGCGCGTTCATGTGAGCAGGATAAGTAGGACTTGGAAGGGTTGGCGTTGGTCGAGCCGGGCCCGTCATGTTCAGTCGGCTTCCTAGGATATTGTCGATGTAGAAAGGAGTGTGGGACGGCGGCCCACTGCCGTTGTGGAGCGTGTTCAGGGGCTGAATACCGTTTGGCGCAGAAATGGGTGCGAGCCCGGGCCCGACCAGGCCGTGATGGTGGTTCATCATATGAGAGTTGTGGAGGTTCATGCTTGACGGTGGAGGAGGTCCAGGGTACTGTAATGTCGACATAGTGAGACGGAGTAACTTTTAGAAATGGGTTCTAGAGATGTGATGATCCTCTTGAGTACTGTTTCATGTGGGCCTAGTAGAACCACCAGACACTGAATAGTTACTCAATTTTGAAGAGACCATAGAGAAACAAATGATCAGGCCTCAGCACAGCTCTGTTCCGGGAAAAATAGCTACAAAAATATACAATGCTGCGAAGTTGTGCCCTGCTATGGTTGGACAGCAATCGGCCGATTATCACTAACACGGCTGGTCGACTGGCACTGATCCTGTACCGTACGCAACTGGTGACTGGACTTCAGAGCCGTGGTGCTTGCCCTGTAATTCGACGTGGCCCTCACTTCTACGCGTACGAAGTACGCGTGACAATAGTACATAAACTCGTCAAAAGCTGCCAGTGTCAGTTAGTGTGTGTATCCTCTAGGCCGGACAAACGGATGATGTTTGCAATGAACCAGGAATACGGGGAGGGGCTACATAGCTTTAGTGCGGTTTTTTCTTTCTCTCTCTCTCGTAAATTCGAGACTCGTCAATTAGTCGTTTTAGCCATTGCATCCGGGCACTTTTTGCACGAGAGCGCCAGACAAGTCGTTGATTGGTCTAGTGGTCTATCGTTGCAATGACGTTGCCAACAGATTACAGCAGCTGACCGTCTGCAGGAGCGCTCGAGCCCATTACTTTTTAAGTGTCATTTAAAACTTACGTTGGTTCCAGCAAACTAGTCGGATTGGCGATGAAGTCTGGTGCCGTAAGTCTAGAACCAAGAACGGTAAATTCTGGCACCAGGTTTCGCGAGCCTGTACTGGTAACGAAAATGAACAGCGTTAATATGATTAGCACTGCCGGTATTTAAACCCCAATAATTGGTGCAAAAATCACAGCAGCTTTTTGTTACTTACCGTAGTTCCAAATGCATTGGACATGCAGACCACTGAGTGTCGCCGTCTGTTGATACAATGTTGATGACAACAATGATTGAGTGACAAGTTACACATTCTGCCGTGTGGTTCTGATTGTGATCCTCTCGTGATTTCTGATAGGGGCGTTGCTTTTCACAGAGGTTGTCACGCCAAGTTTGTGTTAGAAAAAACAACAAAAACAACCCCCCGAACACCCCCGCACATATGTGAAATGGGCGAACCGTTGAATATTGGAGTTTTCCAAAGCCAAATTTTGACGTCACCGCACGTGAACAGTTGGCGGCGCCATTCTATGACTAACCCGTCTGCTCATGTCAACTAGCATTTTCCTCTCACCCCTCCAAAGTAATTGACAAAACAAAGATAACAAGGCCAAAAACTTAAGCAAAAACAAAAGTTTTTAATTTAACGATGTAGGGAGATCGATCAGTGCTGAGGGGCTCTAAACTATCGCCATATGATTGGCGGCCCATCGCGGAGGGGAATGCACTATATCAAGAACGGTTGAAACCTCTGGGTGCACCCGCAAGGAATACAGGGGAAATGAGCTGTGATTCACCCCCAAATTCTACCGGTGCCTCGTGGTGCACCCTTCTCCGTCCCCGTCCCCTGCGACCCACTTGCTTTACCTCTATCAATCAAGTGACTGGTGAAACTTTTGCGGATGAGATGGTCCACCAACATTTTCTCCCCATCGTTATGTTTCCGGTGAAATAAGAAAATCATTGCAAACAGAGTCTATGGAGTGGAATATACGAAACCGTGAGGATTTGAACCTTGGAAAGCCTCCCCACAAGTTTACAACCTAGATAAGAGTAAATGTATAGATGTAAGGTGATCAGTTGCACTGAGCAACTTCCCTTATCGACAATTGATGATACATGTAAACTGGAAAATAACGCATAGATTCCAAAGCTATTCAAACTCAACCCTCTTTAATTTAGATCTCACGTAATACTATTAATAAAATCTACATACAGAAACGAATATGAAATTCTGATCTTCTGTCGTTTGTTGTATTTCTTTTGTCAAGGTTCATTTGAGAATGCAGGCTTACAGCAGATACCAGAGTGAAAAATTATTGACGTGTAAATGTCTGATTGCTGATCACCATATTACTTTTTTCAATATCCGTGCTTAATAAACGCTCCTTCCATAACACTGTTCCTATAATTATCACGGCAATGTTTGTTTCAATTTACACGTTGATTACATGTTATTTCTGAAAGTCATTCATTCTGACTTTGAACGGCTCATTTTGCTGCAATGAAGGAGAAACGCCAAGAAGGGAAACAGTCAATTCTGATCTTCATTTTGAACAGGAATCATTGAAATTTGCATCTCTTTGAGATTTGAAATTTGGCAAAATCACGTCAGCCCAACAGTGGCGTAACGGGGGGGGGACGTGTCCCCCTTAAATTCCCGGTGCACTCCCCAGGTTCCCCCACTAAAAACGGAGGAATGGATATTGAACAAGGCTAACATAAACTTGCCCCCTAAAAAACCACACCGCTGAAAGCTGGTGCCCCCACTAGACGCTGAAAGCTGGTGCCCCCACTAGACGCTGAAAGCTGGTGCCCCCACTAGATGATGGTGCCCCCTTTGCACTCCCCCACCAGTAAAAAATCCTAGCTACGCCACTGCAGCTCAATCTGACATTTTTATGATCCGCTCGTCTCAACCACACCCACATTTATTGGTATTGCTGTGCAGAACAGTCCCATGTGGTACCGTCGCTTTCTTTGAGTTTTTGTCATTGCTGTTTTTGAACTTTCTGTCAACAATTTCAAGACTTTGAGTCCTGAAGAGCCGGTTGCCGGGGATGTTTTAGGTCCCCCCATACGCCCCTACAACCTTCAAAGAGTATTTCCATCGCCCCACTTCACCCTTTGACCCTAATGATATCTAATTATAGTTTGCACTTGGTCTCGACCATTCACCCACATACATGTGAAAATGCAAGTTTGACAAATTGTGAGTAACCGTTAGCGGAACCAAGACGACCTCTCGGAGTCTTGTCAGCTAGGAAAAAAATCAATTTTGAGTTGACCACTGAGTGCCGGTGTCTTTTAACGATAACAGTGTCGGTGGTTAGCGCTGCAATTAGGTTGAGTGACTCTAAGTGACATTTCCCTGCAATTCATGATAACGGCTACAAGCCCAATTGTTACAATGAGACACGCAGAATGGACGACTGTAACGGGATAATTACGGACTGAATTCGAGCTGGCGTCACAAACCGGAAGATTTAATTTCGATGTTGGGTAAATAGGGGAAGATATTTGTAATCCTTACGAATTTTTATAAAAATCATTTACAGTGTGAAAGCGGCTGAATGGAAATCATCATTTCCACGTTTTCTCGCCCAGTGTCATTGTTTTGGTGGAGATTTTCAACGTGGTCGTGACCGTCAGAGAGGCTGTATGATAGCGTTGAACACTGACAAATTCGGTTCCAAAGAATATAAAGCTTTAACAGAATTAGCAGCCTGGTTTCTATATGGTCGTTTGTAACGCAGACGGAACGCAAGACGTGAAAACGCAGACACGAACGGAAGAAACGGTGCATGACATCCTTCCACTCAAAAAATGAAACAAAATGGCGTCCAAAACTCCGTGATTTTTCGCGAAAAATGTGCTTTTAGATGGACTGCTCCGCCTCATGATGCTAAACCTCTGCTCCAGTTTCATGCATTACATTGATGGTCAGCTGTTAAGTTCCTAACTCGGGTGTTATATTTAAGCAATAAGGAGAAAACGGGAAAAATTGGTGGAACTAAGCGAGAGAGACATCGTTGCACGCCGGTCATGTCAGCATGCATGTTTACATGGGGATACCGCGCCTACTTGAAGCAGACAGTCGGCAAAGTTGAAACTGGCTCAACTTGCCGATCGTTTGCGGGCTGGTTTGCATTTGTCTGCATTGTCGGACATTTCACTGAAAAAAGAAACATTGACATATCTAATGGGACGTTGCGTTTTATAAAATAAATTCACAGCTGATGGAAAATACATAAAAGGGTCATTCCATGTCAGACCAACACATGTTTTGACCTTAAGTCTTCAGATTTGGACACAAATTGCCGACATAAATACTTTTTATTATTTTTATTTTTATTATATATTTTTAGCGGAATCTGCCCTTCCATGTGATCAGGGCAGAGATCAACGAAAATGGACGGTTTTCACTAAAACCCACCCTTTTAGTGATGATGATTTTAATGATTCAGACTCCGTTACAAGGCCAAAACCCATAATTAAAATTAAAATGGGCACCTCAAATGAAATGATAATGTGTGAGATATATTGCTCTTGCTCTGAAAACCATTAAATTAAAAATTCATGGACCCTATCAGTCCAATATCTTCCAATTTCAATATGACTGTACATACATCTTAGGGTCAATTTCATTTTCATTCAGTATAAATTGCTTGGGTACAAATTCCTCTATTAGGATTAAAATTGACATATTCTAAACTAACCAAATGTAGGCAAATTGTCATAACATCTTTTTAAACACCCCAGAAAGATCTTTTAGAGCAGGAACCACACTTTCAGAAACACTTGATATAAAACTATTCAAAATGATGCTTTATTTTTAAAATGGAGTAAAAGTTTACTGACCCATGTCAAAGGTTGTCTTGACTCTTGATTCACAAAGCTAAATTTCCACAACATCAGTGAAAAGAGCATGTTCTTCTAATCATTTGGATACCACATTTGCGTATATTCAATAAAAAATGAGAGGGTCATGTATCAGTTTTACTAAAAGGGTGGAATTTTCAGTGAAAACTGTCCATTTTTGTTGATCTCTGCCCTGACCACATGGGAGGGCGGATTCCACTAAAACTTGGCAAGTATTTATCATTCATTCTAATGCGTTTGGAATTAGAGGATAAAGCGATTGCTGGGCCTATGAAACCAACTCCTATGGAGTTCGGAATTTAAACCCATCCATGAATTTATATTTCATGCAATTGCGTATGACTGCACAACTTTCTGGACTAGTGAAGCGGTCTTGTTTTTTTTTTTTTCTGAACAAAATGTCGACGACCACGCGTGCTACGTTTTCCAAACACAATCTCATCACGGAAATGCACTGAGCACAATAAACAGGGACTTGTTTCCTGATCTTGGCGAGTGGAGATGTTATTACAAGTGCGGTGGTTCTGGCAAATATCATTCGATTTCTTCCTCCTTTTGTCTCTAATGCCTGCCTGTTTCCTTCGTGTCAGGTTTTGTATAAGCAATACACGCAGCCCGATTACCGGCAATAACAGGATATAAATGGTCACAAAGGATGTAATCGTTTTGGTTTCATAATATATCACCGAGCAATCGGTTAGTGATTGGCTGCGATGCAGCATAGTACTAAGGTTTGATTCATGACAATACAAAAGCCGAAACGGACTTTCACTTTTTGTAATAGCCAGGGAAAACTTTCCTTTTGCAATCAAGGACGCTTTTTCCTTTTCAAACATACATGTATACAAAACATGTATCAAGACATGAAGCTGTGATTAAAACCACTTCTCGGTGCTAATGCTGCGAGATTACGCTCTTGTTTAGGAAATGAAAATGCACAAATTTGCTTGCTGGCGACCTTCTAGTGCGTTGCACTTTCTGAACCATTGCGGTTTTAGTTCTCCGAATGTGTAGGTTATGTTGGCCACTCTTGGAGATTTGCCAACAGAGTTTCTTGCGCACATTTAGGCAAAAACTGGATCAAAGCTGACTTAAGTTCTTTACTACATACTGCGCTATAACAAAATTCAACGACGGCAATAATGACATACTCAGCGTTTCATGTGAAATATATGCAACCATCTGATCCACACAACGGAGCTAGCTGTCTGGGTGGTATAGCCAAGTATACTT